GTTAAACGGCTTTATTGCTGATAAATAGGTGGTTTTTTTATAAGAGATCTATAAACATACTTTTATGTAGTATTGGCTATTCTTGAACAATAATCTAACGTTTTTTACCCCTTGATTACGGAGTTTTGATGCCGTTGATTTAGCTGCATCAATATCTTGGAAAAATGCAATATATCCCTTACTTTCAGCAGTGATTTTTTTTGGATGACGCGCCTGTATAGCTCTCTCGTATTGATTTTTATAGTGTGGATTTTTCTTCACTAATTGTTCTGATTTTTCTCTTAGATACTGAATTTTTACTCTTGTAAGTCCGTCCTCGTAAAATCCTAAAATCCTAGCTGCTTCTTCTGAAAGGTCTATAATTCTATCCTCAAAAAAAGGACCCCTATCGTTGACCCTTACAATAAGTTTCTTCCCATTTTTAATATTGGTTACAAACACAAAGCACGGTAGTGGCAATGTTTTATGTGCTGCTGTAATCAAATGACGATCAAATATCTCACCATTTGCTGTTGGTTTGCCATGCTCTTCTGTTCCATACCAAGATGCTACTCCCACCTCCTCATACTCACTGTAACTTTTTGGATGATAAGTGATGCCATTGATTGTATAACTGTTGCCAATTTTATAGTAGCCTGGATTTCTATAGTGTTTGTTGTGAAAACTACAATCACTGATTAGTGAAAACATTAGACACAAAAATACCAACTTTTTTATCATTTGCTTTTGTGAAAAGATTCGTCACTGTATACTTTATAAGTATAATGAATTCAGTTAATAAAGTAAATCTCTAAAGATGAATAGTACTAAAGTAGTGCATATTATAGGTATAGGTGGAATAGGAATGAGCGCTATTGCTAAAATTCTTTATAATCTTAACTATAAAGTACAAGGTAGCGATGCATACTCAAACGACAATATTGATAGACTAAAAAAACTTGGTATAGAAGTATACACTGGCCATAGCGCTGATAATATTAATCAAGCGCAGATAGTTGTATATTCCTCTGCAATTCAAGACTCTAATGTAGAGTTAATTGCAGCAAGAGAAAATAATAAAGTTATTATTCACAGGTCTGATATTCTTACTGAACTTATGAAAAATAAGTACACGATTGCAGTTTCGGGCTCAAGTGGAAAGACAACGACAACAGCAATGTTGGCTTCTATTTTTGATCATTCTAATATTGATCCAACTGTTATTGTGGGAGGAATCTTAAATTCATATCAAAGTAATGCAAAGTTTAGTAAAGGCGATATTTTTTTGCTTGAAGCTGATGAATCAGATGGAACTATGCTAAAAATTCATGCCAATATTGCAGTTATTACCACTATTAATAGTGATCATATAGATTATTATGGTACAGTTGATGGCATTAAGCGTGCATTTTGTCAATTTATAGATCAAGCAGATTGCGCTATTTTACCGGATTTTGTGGATATTAATTATAATGAAGATAAGGTGCAAACGTTCGGATTTAAAGGTGCAAATATAAGAGCTGTTAATGTTAAGCAGCATGCTGATATCATAGAATTTGATGTATTAATCAATGCAAATAAAGTTTCAATTCTTCCGTCATTCGAAATGAAAAACGTAATACTATCAAACGCAATAGGGATTCATAAGGTTAGTAATGCCTTAGCTGCAATATCAGTTGCAATTAAATTAGGAATCAACGAAGAAAACATTAGAAATGGTCTTTTAGAATTCAAGGGAGTAAAAAGAAGATTCTCTACAATTGCTGATATTGAGGGTGTGAAGTTCATTGAGGATTATGCACATCATCCAGATGAAATTCATGCAACTTTAATAGCTGCACGTTCAATCGCTGAAGGGAAAGTAGTGGGGATTATTGAACCACTGCGTTTTGCTCGTATTCGTAATTTCTTCTGTGAGTTCATAAATATCTTCATGATGTTTGACTATGTAGTTATTACCCCCGTTCACCCTCCAGAAGATGAGCTTATTTCTGGTTGCAGTATAGATGATATACAGAAGGCTTTAATAAGCAATGGTTTTAATAATGTCAAGACTATGAATGACTCTCTGTCAATTTCACGTTTTATCAATGATTTCACAAATTCTGGGGATATAGTATTATTTATAGGAGCTGGCGGCAAGATAGCAAAATTAGCAAAAGAAGCTGTTGAATTTATAATAGGAGTAGAATAATGAAGAAAATAATTCAT